GACAGGAGAAACCGGGGGGGCTCCTCAAGGGGGGAGAGTCCTGCTGCCACAGCGAGACAGGTGAGGGACACCTGGGGACATCCATGGGATACCCTGGGACACATTGGGACGCCTGGGACAGGGGAGGGACACTTGGGGACACAGGGAACACCTGGGGTGGGGGACATGTCCTGCTGCCACAGTGAGACAGGTGAGGGGACATCTGGGGACATCTATGGCACACCTGGGGACACAAGGGACACCTGGGAACATCCATGGGACATGTGGGACAGGTGAGGGACACCTGGGGACACCTGGGACAGGTGAGGGGATACCTGGGGACACAGCGGATGGGTGAGGGGACACCTGGGACAGGTGAGGGACATGTGGGGACATCCATGGGACACCTGGGACAGGACACAGGGGACACTTGGAACAGGTAAGGGGACATAGGGGACAGGTGAGGTGACACCTGGGGACACCTGGGACAGGGGAGGGGACACCTGGGACAGGTGGAGGACACCAGGGACACTTATGGTCACTTGGGACAGGGGAGGGGACACCTGGGGACACCTGGGGACACAGGTGACACCCTGGTGCGTAACCGCTGCCATTCCATCCCCACAGGTGTGTGACAGACCCGGGACCACCTGGGGACACCTGGGGACACCCCAGGACCGTCCCCTCCCTCCTTCGGATCCTTTTTGGGGCGTTTTCCCCTTTTCCCGCCGTTTCCCCGGGGTCTCCCTCGACTCTCGGGTCGTTTTCCCGGGACTTTTCAAACCCGAATATTTGGGATTTTAACCCAAACCCCCGCCAGGATGGGGATTTATTTTTCTACAGAAAAGAAAAAAAAAACCCCAAGCCCGGCTCATTTTTGGGGACAAATCCCCAGCTTTTTATTAATAATAAATGAATTTAAATCCCAGGAAACCTCCTCAGGCTGGAGGCACAGCCTTAATTCCCCCTTAGTAACCAACCCAGAGCTTTTCCCTCTGTTTTGGGGTTGTTTTTGGGGTTGTTTTGGGGTTTTTTGGTTTTTTTTTAAAGTCATGGTTACTCTCATGTCTTCTGTATATGTTGCACTGAAAGTTAATATTTAATGTTTTAATTTATTTCGCCTGGTTTAAATTAATTTTGATTCCTATAAAGATGTTCTTGTCATCGCCTGGTCTTGGGGTTTTTATTTATTTTTTTCCCATCCTAAAAACCTGGGTTAGAATTACTTAAGATTTAGATGTAAATTATTTAGCTGTTTAGATGTAAAAACAATTTTTTTTTTACAGAAAATTCGTGGTTTGGGGTTTTTTTTGGGGGGATATTTGGGAAGGAGATGCTGAATCCCACAGCTGGGAGTGGGGGGATATTCCCAGGGGTGGCTGAGCCCCAAATTCCAAAATTTGCATCCCAAATTTTCAAGCCCAATGCTCCGATATCGAACTCAGACCCATTTTCCCATAATTTTATCCCAAATTTTGAAGAACAGTTTTAGGATCAGCCCCAAATTCCCAAATTTTCAAGCCCTGATGCCCCAGTTTTAGCCCCATTCTGGGGCAGATTTGGGGCAATTCCCATCAGTTTGGGGCTGGTCCTGGAGGTTTTGGGACAATTCCTG